GGGTTTACGCCATTCTCCTGCCTCAGCCTCCCGAGTAGCTGGGACTACAGGCGCCCGCCACCTCGCCCGGCTAGTTTTTGTTTTGTATTTTTTAGTAGAGACAGGGTTTCACCGTGTTAGCCAGAATGGTCTCGATCTCCTGACCTCGTGATCCGCCCGTCTCAGCCTCCCAAAGTGCTGGGATTACAGGCTTGAGCCACCGAGCCCAACCTTTTTCTGATATTTTAAAATTTCTGTTGCCGTTTGTGCATATTTCAGTATGCATCTCCTGAAGGGTGGATATTTTCTTATATAACCACAGTGCTATTAACACAGCTAACGAACTTAGTGCTTCTTTTTTTATCATCTGATAGAGTTGTTCGTATTGATTTGTGTGAATGGGGATCTGAGAGAGGTTTTGTTATGCTGCACACCTTTGTTGCGTCTCATGTGTCAGTGCCTTGTTGAAATACTGTAGATCAGTCACAGTGCAGTTTGTCCCACTATTTGGATTTGTCCCTTTGGTTAGTCATAAGGTGCCATTTCTCTTATTTCTCTCTGCACATCTCCTTCAAAGCAAACGTTAGCTGTAAAGTCTTGATTAGATACATATTGAAATTCTTGGGTACAGTTTTTTTTATGAATCTCCACCCTAACATTTAAAAACATTCAACCAACCTATGATGGACTCATATACATCATTTAAAAGTGCTTCTATTCTATTTCAAGAGAAAAATATTTCTTGTTATTTTTCGGTATCGTTGGGTATTTAGCTGATAAAATAACTTGGTCTCTCAGTTTGTTTTTGTTTTCTTATACAGACTCACCTATTGATTTTCATTTACAGTCATGGATGAATGATAAGGAACCCAAGGTAACTTTTTATGTATTTGTTATCGTTTTCCGGAGTATTATAGGGGAGTGAAAGTTCATATTTCACATATATAAGTGTTAATATGAGTTAGACGTCATCTACTTTTTTCTAGTAGAACTCTAACTTACCCAGCTTCAGTAAAAATGGGAGTTTCTCTCAAGTAATGAGAAGGTTCAAGGGTAGTGCTGGTGCCTGGGACTGTATTCTTGGGCTTGGTGATGTCGGAGCTGAGTCCATCTGTTTGCTCTGCTTCACTCTGTACTGGCCTCATCTAGAATGTTAGCTCCATGAGGGCAAGCATTTCTTTGTGTGTGTGTGTGTGTGTGTGTGTGTGTGTGTGTGTGTGCGCGCGCGCGCGTGCGCGTTTCGTTGTATCCTGAGTGCCTGAGTGCCTCGAATGGTTCTTGGCCCTTAGTTGTTACTTAATAATTTGTCAAATGATAAGCAGTCTGTCTCATTTGTTGGCAACACAAGCCTATACTCTTAACACTTGTGATCAGAAAAGAGGAAAAAGACAGCTCTAACGAGCTCACTTGGCTCATGTGTCCTCCCCTCTGCATATCGCTGTGCCAAGAGGTGGGTTGGGATGAGTCTGGATCTAATGTCCAATTCTGTGCGTGTGCTTGTGCATGAGTGTGTATACATGCACAGATAGAGGAATGCAAGTGACAGCCCTACTGGACCACGTGAAGTATAAAGGATGGTCTCTTCAGAAGAGAGATGCTGAGAAGATAAACAGTTTATGCCCAACATTACCACCAAACCTGAATTTCAGGCATGCAGTCATGAATTTATGAGACTTGCTTACAAAATATAAACTAAACACTGTTAAAACTGATAAAAAAGAGGTACACTTTTTGTTTCACTTTTGTAAGAGTTGTAAAGTTTATAGAATGATTGCAAAAGGGTCTAAAGTAAAAGTTATTTCCCTGTGCCAGTGATTGGCAAACCATAGTTTATGGCTTGCATCGAGTCTGCTGGCTGTTTTTGTGAAGTTTTATTGGAATACGGTTGTGCCCGTTTGTGTATGTTTTGTTTATGGCTGTTATTTGTGCTACAACAGCAGAGTTGAGAAGTTGTGACAGAGATTGTACAGCTCATAAAGCCTGAAGTATTTACTATCTGGCCCTTACACAAAATGTTTGTTGGCCCTGCCCTATGTGCTCACCCTGTATGTGACCCCTAGTAAGTTTCAAGTGTGAGAGAGGCTTTTTGGAGGAAGTGCAGGT